GAGTGTGACTATGTCTGTCACAAAAGCTCCCACTATTAGTAGAAACAGAAAAGAAGCAAAAATATAAATCTAAAGTAAATGTTGCTTTATCCAAGAACGAAATTGTAAATGGTAAAAGAAGGAAATACGTAAATACGAAAATAAATGGTCATACAGTTAAGTTATTGTTGAATTATGGAAGCGACATTTCTATTGGGAATGAATAAACATGGAAGAAAATAGGTTTTCTATCATTGAGGAGTGTCTGTTAAAAAGCTAAGCTTCAGGGGCGAATTTAGCTGCAACGTATCATTTATGGAAAGGACTTTCAAATCAAAAATCCAGGTACGACGAATGTATTTGGTACAGATTGGATCGTGCTTTTTGATTTATGGGAAGTACGCGTAAATTCATTTTGCAACAAATTGGACGTGTCAGTAAAGGAAAAATTTGTAGAAACAGAAAAAGTTATTTCTGATCTGAAAAACGAACTTCCGCGCGTGTTTTCTGAAGGTCTTGGAAAATGCACGAAAACCGAAAAAAACTTAAAAAATGATCAAAATGCGCTAACAATAAATCTGATACCAGACAGCATTTTTATTTTCTGGATAGCATCTTCGCATTTTTTAGACCAAATCCATTTTGCACCCTGATTCCTGCAAAGGGAATTTATAACCAGATAGAGAATGAAAGCCTAACCATAATCTACTCGGTTAAAAGATTTTACAGGTTCATCCATAGATGGAAATTTACATTAGAGACGAATCATAGACCGTTGTTAACGATTTTTGGATCAAGAAAGGGTATACACACGCACCCTGCTAACAGGTTTCAGCGCTGAGGAATAAACTTGTTGAACTACAACTTTAAGATGGAATATCTACCCTCGAAAAAAAATGGGACACACCGACCGTTTGTCTAGATTGATTCCGAAATTTGCAGAACCATTAGAAGACACGGTGATAGCTGATTTAGGGAATGAAAAAGAATTATCAGTGTTCCTATGAAATACAATTCGGGAGTTACCTGTGACTCTAGAAGATATAACATAGAGCAGCTGAGTTGGACGAATTTAAAAAAATGAAGAAACATGTATGGCTGAAAGAAAAACTTAAAAAAGGACCTAAAATATTACCATTCTCAATCTGCGAGCAAATGCTATTATATGCAGATAGAGTGATAATGCCATATTCACTACAAAAGAAAATCCTGAAGGAATTTCATATAGATCATCCGAGCATGTCAAGAATGAAATCATTAATGCGAAGCTATACGTATTGGCCTAGGATGAAACAGGGTATTGAAAAAATGGTAAAAGAGTGTAGAGGTTGTCAACTTGCATCAAAAGCACCACCAATAAAAATTCAACGATGGCCTAAAACAGTTATCGCGTGGACGAGGTTACACATCGACTACGCTGGGCCTCTAAATAGTTACTGCTACCTAATAATCGTGGACAGTTTCTCCAAGTGGCCGGAAATATTCAAGGGTAAACATCTCAGATCCGCAAATATTATGAATGTACCAAGCAAGCTTTTTAATTGTTTCGGTGTACCAACAGCTTTAGTTAGTGACAACAGGACACAATTTACCAGCAAAGAATTTAAGAATTTCCGCACATCTTTGTCCATAGACCACATTATGACCTCTGTTTACAATCCTAGATCAAATGGGAAAGGAGAAAGATTCGTGGACACTTTACAAAAAAAAAGCTCTAAGAAATAATCAAGGCATGGTCACTGATGAGAGGAGTATACAAAAGTTTTTAACGGTTTACAGAATTACTCCCAATCCGAACATAGATTCAGGCCTATCACCAGCCGAACTGATGTTCGCGAGAAAAATTCGGTCAGTGTTTGACAGGCTGTTGCTTAGTCCAACGAAAGGAGTCGTAAACTTTGCGTACAAATTTTACAAAGCTGGAGATAGTATTCGTCAGGAATTATAGGGAAAAGCTTCTGGGTATCACCAAAAGACTTTACAGGGTGATATACATGCTCAAAGGGAGAAGATTTGAATGTAAGAGCTATTTAAACCAGTTAAGGCCAAGACATACAAAAGATGTCACGCCTATTGAAGAATTACCAATAGAGGTAATATGTGACGCATTCGAGATACCAGTTCCCATATCGCCACCAGTACCGATGGAAGCATCTCCAACCCTGACAGTGACAGAAGTAACGCCTTCCCGAAAACGCCTAATGCCTCAAATCACATCAGCACAAAACTCGGTGAGACGGAAAAGTTGTAGGAAGAGAAAAAAAAGTCTAAGAATTATGTTCTGACACCAAAAAGAAGAGGTAATGAGCAAAATCTCATGGGAAAATTATCTTAGGGGGAGATGTTGTAATGGAAAGTCCCACACTCCCTATCGTCTATGTGGACTGACTATATACAGTAGCTATATGGTGAGCACAGGATATACTTGGGGGCTCGGTTCGGCAATTAGTTAGAGATTCGTCTCCAGTCGTGCTGGTCGAACTCTCTATTTTCTGGCAGAGAGGAACCCAGATGGGGCTATGCCGAAGGGCAGAGTCTCGTCTGGGGTGGCAGACAGCTACCCGACCCCCGTTTTCACTGGGTCTACGGAGAATTTTTGCCCAAGCCAACGGGCTTAGTTTTAGCCCGCATTAAAAAAACCCCTTCGTGCCACATCCTTCCGCGCGTGGAGGTAAGGTAAATAACCTTGCTTCGGTAATTAGTTATTCGTCTCCAGCTGTGCTGGTCAAACTCTCTGCCTTCGGGTAGAGAGGAACCCAGACGAGGCTATACCAAAGGGCAGATTCTCGTCTGGGATAGCAGACAGCTACCCGACCCCGTGTATACGAGATGTACGGGGAAATTTTGCCCGAGTCTACGGGCTCGGTTTTGCGCCATTTTAAAACGGCCTTGTGCCACCTCCTGCCTTGCGGGGAGGTAAGCTAAATATCTTTGCTTCGGCAATTAGTTGGAGGTTCGTCTCCAGCTGTGCTGGTTAAACACTCTGGATTCGAGCATTGAGGAAACCAGACGAAGCCATGCTGAGGGGCAAAGTCTCGTCTGGGATGATAGACACCTACCCTACCTCATAACTGGTTGCAAAATTGGCACACCACGATCTTCCTACTAAAATTCTTCTTCATTTGCCTTAGATTGTACTCAGCTCAAATCAATAATTAACTGCTTGTGACACTGGCGCGGCACAAACTTCTTACCAATATTTTTCCTATTTTTTTCTTAGATTTTACTAAGCTAAACTCTAAATAACTGTTTGCAAAATTAGTGCAATGCAATCTTTCTACCAACATTCTTCCTATTTTACCTTTGACTGTACTCATCTCAAGTCAGTAATAAAATGGTTGAAAGATTGGCGCAACACTGTCTTTCTACGAGAATTCTTCTTATTTTGCCTTAGACTGTACATATCTCAAATCAGCAATGAACTTATTGTGAGAGTGGCGCAAACAGTCTTATTACGAGCATTCATCCCATCTGGCCTTGCACTATATTAAGCAAAACTTAAATAAATTGGTCTAAGTCTAGCGCCACAAAGACTACTTACCAGGATATTTCCCATCCATCTCTGTAAATAATTGGACGTAATTTTGGCACAACACAATCTTCCTGTCAGCATTATTCTCATTGTGGCTGTTTCGTGATTGATTGCGTAGCTTGTTTTTTTTCTGGCGACGAGTAATCAACGGTCTGTCCTAGATCAAATCAAAGATCCCAAATGCTGCTTTTCAAGGTAAGTACGGAGAACTTTTTTCTGCCTACCATGAGTATGGCTGATGCTGAACCACACTTTTCTTCTTGGCTTCACGTTTTCTCCTGATATGAAGTGGTACGTCTATCTCGTGTCCGTTGCTACGTCTGCTGTAAGGAAGCTTGGTTCACTGTTGTGCTGAAAAAATGTTCATGTCAGAAGCTATCTTGCACATTTATAAATCAGCTATTCACCCGTTCATTGAATACTGTTGCCATATCTGGTCTGGGCCTCCTACTGTGCGTCTCGAGATTCTTGATAAAACCCAGAGAAGGGTCTGCAAATGATCCTGACCAGGTATCTTGTCTTCAGTCACTTTCTCGCCGATGTGACATGGCTTCTCTTTAACCGTTCTTGTCTGCAACTTTTCGGGTGGGCTTTTTTTCCTGATGTTCCGAAAAATTTCGAGTTGTTGCTTTAAAAACTTACTATCATAAGGTTATGTTACGCCAGTCTATGAATGTTACTAGTATCAGGTAACTCACTACATGCGGAATGATAAGATGATCGGCGAACAAACCGGTTCTTCCACCAGGCTTTTCTGGCGATGAGATTGTCTTCACACCCAGCAAGATTAAATTCAAGGCCTTCCAAAAGGTGGATGAGCATTCATCTTGTACCAACGACCATCTAGTACAATGGGGTCCATTTGAAGCCCCGGTGTGGTGACGACACGACGACGTTGAATGTTCAGTCACCTAGATTTACGCCAACAGTCAGAGCGGAGTGTTCAATCAATAGATTCAACATCCAAGGTGAGAAGCTTGAGCCTCCAAGTTAGAGGACATCAAATGTAATTTGAACCGGAAAGGAATTTGGACTACGTGACTTACTTGTCCAAGACATCTATCAATAAGATTCAACGTCCACGGTGAGCAGGTTGAGCCTTCATGTTGGAGGACATCAAATGTAGTTTGACCCGGAAAGGAATTTGGACCATGAGACCTACTTATCCAAGACACACTACGCATGAATGATTACCTGTTTGCCTTTTCAATCTAGAAATGTGGAAGGAAGTGGGCAGGTGCTCAGCTGCGCAGTGACTCTACTACCTCGCGGTGGTCAGGGAACTCATGATGACGACGACGATGATGATGACCTTACCGTTTGCATATAATGCCTACTTCAAGTAGTAGGCGGCGTAAATATGAAATTCTTTACTCTATTATCTGTTAGTCTTTTGCCACTGTGAGTTAAGGATTTGCTCTTTAAACGATTGGCTGTGTAGGTGACACGCTTAATCATATAAAGATAATCTGTAGTCTTAGGCAGAGACAGATCTCTAAAGGCTGATATAGATTGCTAAAAGGAGAGATAGATAGAAGGAGAGAGAGATATGAGCAGATAGAGATAGATAAATAGATATGAACTAATTGAGATAGATATGAACAGATTGATATATATATATATATATATATATATATAGATAGATAGATAGATAGATAGATAGATAGATAGATAGATAGATATGAGCAGATGGAGATAAACAGGTATGAACAAATTGAGATAGATATGAACAGTTGAGATAGATAGATAGATAGATAGATAGATAGATAGATAGATAGATAGATATGAACAGACTGAGATAGATAGATAAATAAATAGATGGATAGATAGATATGCACAGATTGAAAGAGAAATAGATGTGAAAAGATTGCGATAGATAGATATGAAAAGGTGGCCATAAATAGATAGACAATGAGCAGATTAAAGATAGATAGATAGATAGATAGATAGATAGATAGATAGATATGAATAGAGTGAGATTGGAAGATATATAGATATAAGCAGAGTTTCTAGGATTTGCCGTTTGTGCGTCATGATGACGTCATGCACGTGGCAACTTAGAAACGAACTGTTTCACTGAGATAGCCCTATCAGTTGTTAAATACATTTCAAATCCCACTTCTCCGAAGTGAAAATGATCTCATTTATTTTGTGGTTTCTCGATTTTATGATAAACGCTTCAAGAATGTGATTTTTTTCCTTTTTTTTTTTTTTTTAGCTTTTTCTGCTTTCGAATTAATGTTGCATACTTTACCCGTTTCAAATATATGTCGTCTTATGTATTGCGTCATCAAAAATGCTATATTTTTGATTTGTTCTTATAAAGACCAGACAAATTTATGATCGAAAACGGGGTATCACAAAAGTATGAACAATATGTAAATTTAGTGGATCTAAACATAAATAAAAAAATATCTTTGCTGTACTTTTTATTCAACCATGTATTTATACGTTCATACCCATGGGCGTGGATATATATATATATATATATATATATATATATATATATATATATATATATATATATTGTTTATACGTTATTTTTATGGATGCAACTTATTTGAATAAATGTTCTGTTTTAATTAAACAATATTGATTAAATTTATAGGCCTGAATGTTCGAGAAATTTCGTAGAAAATATGAGTATAAGTTGCAGCCATGAGAATAATGTATAAACAGAAAATATATTAAAATATTTATCGGATTTAATCCATATCACCTAATATATATATATATATATATATATATATATACAGGTAATAAATCCGTTGGTATATAATCCAAGTGGCTCCTAGTCATATAAAATATTAAAACTGATCCACAAAAAGAGCTGAAGTTATTTATAAGAGAATATATATAATATATATATATATATATATATATATATATATATATATATATATATATATATATATATATATATATATATATATATATATATATATATATTAAGATTGACAAAGTCCGACAATTTATTAAAGATATTTTATGTTTAATATTCTTTTTATAGATACAAGTATTTAAGTAAATGTTTGTTTATAATAAACAGTATTGAAAATTTTAATGTCCGAGAATTTTCATAGAAAATATTTTTGACAGATTTCGAGCCTGCATCCCATACGGAACCGAGTCGGTTAAGGCACGTCGGTGTAAATGACGGTTCCGTATAGGATGCAAGTTCGAATCCTGTCAAAGGACGAATACTTTCTATGAAAATTCTCGACATTCAGGCCGGTAAATGTTATTTAATACTGTTTATTATAAACAGAGCATTTACTTAAATACTTGTATCTATAAAAAGAATGTTAAATATATATATATATATATATATATATATATATATATATATATATATATATATATGTGTGTTGTGTGTGTGTCTGTGTGACCCGAAGATTGTGTAAGCATGAAACAGATTGTAGCCTCTTCACATTTATATTTACATACGAGCTACACCTAATATTTAACCCAGGAATATAGCATACCTTAAAACCATATTTTTAACGTCTATATATATATATATATATATATATATATAGAGAGAGAGAGAGAGAGAGATAGATAGAGAGAGAGAGAGGAAACAACAGAGGGAGAGAGAAGTATATAGATATGTAGATATATGATCTCTGTGCCAAATAAAGCTTAGTTTTGTCAACATGCACAAACACACAGATACACACGCACACATATCCTTAGGAACCAGTCGAGGGTCGAAAGATCTCTTACCGGAACACTTCCACCAACAATGCGACCCCTGTTCTCCAAAACCGGCTTAACTCCAGCATTGGGCCTGGTTACACAATGCCAAATCAAGTAATAAAAGGAAAATGAACGCAATGGAATCACGTTGTGTCTAAGCAACTCATGACATGTTTTTTGAAAGCACTCAAAAATCCACTAAAGAACATTACGGCTCAGATATACTAAATATGAAATGATATGATAAGAAATGAAAAGAGACCCTGATCTCAAGCTAAATATGCTTTCCAATGTCCGCATACGAAGTAAAAGACTCATATGAAGAAATAAAGCCATATAACTTTATATAAGACCTAAGTACAATCAGACATAACTCAAACAAGAATGAGGCAACAGTGGAAATAGATAATATAACGGAGAATGAAATACAAACTAAAATAAATGAGATACGAAATAATGGTCTCTTAAGAAAATAGTACGGAAGACTCTAGCTGTGACATAAACAATTCTACTGATTCAGATTCTGTCACTGAGGGCGTATCGAACAATATTGAGACAGAATTCCTTAAAAACAACAGACTTGAAATCACCGACGCGAAAAACTACAGCATTCAAATACTCAAAGAGACTGGTCTCCAAAAACTGATATGAAAAAGTTAAATAATCATACAATGCAAACATATAATGGTGCAGCGCAAACATTGTTAATGGACACATCGCTGGAAAATATCATAAGATGAAATAATGTCATATATGCAACATCTTTAGCAGTTACTGGAAGATTTAATATTAAGACAAAGGAAAAAGCAAGCAATAGACAAAAAGACCAACGCTTAGACGGCAAAATTAAATCGGGAAAATTGTGGGAATCAGATGTGAATTATCGATACTGGATAATATTACAAGAAATTCATATGTTTCAAGAAAAAAAAGCAAGAAAATCTGAGCTTAGGTTTCTGGTTGGGACCCGGAAAATGAGTATACAAGAGAAATCAAAGTAAATAATAATAATAATAATAATAATAATAATAATAATAATAAATAAGTAAATTAATGAATAAGATGTTTATATATCTCTGTTCGGAGTTTCGAATTATTACAGATAGTTTGACACTCCAGTAGAAATTAGATTATCATTATTACTATTATTATTATTATTATCGTTGTTGTTGTTGTTGTTGTTTAATCTTTGCTATATTTCTGAGGGAAGAGTGCTCAATATCGGGAATGCAGCGTTTGTATTATAAAGAGTGTAGATGCAGAAATCATCATTATTTCACATAGGTTGCAGGAGAAGATCTGACAACCAAAAAGAGTACTGTTTTTTAGGTGCTATTTCTTCTTTTCGATTTGAGCTCTGCAGTTGGTAGCAGAAAGCGACCGGATTCATATTGGCAACCTCTTTTAGCCAATGATGGTATTCCAATCCGTGAGCAATAAAAGAGTTCGTTTCCAGAGAGAATGTAGCGAGGAAAATGTCCCAAATTCAAGATAAGCATAAGCATGCTTCATACAGTTGACTTGTCCATGACACTTAGAAGCGTGTGGATGGTAGGAACTTTTTGTATTGGTAAAAATACAGATAGACCCTCAAGGTTAAATAAAATAATAAAAAGGTTAATTAAAAAGGTTAATTAAAAAGGTTAATTAAAAAGGTTACCATTATTCAATCCAAAGTTAAGAGTTCACTCAGTAAATGTTGAAAGCAATATTGCTAATGAAGTGTTAGTTCATTCAAGAAGATACATTCTACGTCAATCTAATCTAATCCAATATGTCGGGGCATCTTTCTCTACATCGAACTCGTCGAAATGACTGGGAAATAGAACAATACTTAAGTTTACTGAGTACGATAGGCAACTGAAGAAGGCCGGAAACTATAACACCCAAGTATATAATTATATATATGTATAACAACCAAGATAAGCATAATATTTTTAACAGGGAAGAATAATTAAAATAATGAAAATTCATCTGAGAGAAACAGGCAAGTGATATTATTAGTTTGAGTCATAAATAATTTCCGTTTTTATTTATCACCTTTATTCTTAAAAACAATAAAGTACAATTACATTTTATTCGACTATATATCCACCATTATTTGCAATGACTTGTTGCCACTTGTCAGGCAGATGTTTGATACCTTTTCAGCAAAAATTCCAATATTTCGACGAACAGAGAAAGTTTTCCCTATCAAAGCATTTTGCAGCGATCGAAAATTCCACCAGGCCTGACCGTTGCAGTTGAGGCTTACCATGCCAAATAGATTTGTGTGTGTTCGCGCGCGTATAGTCTGAAGAACACATGGGGTGTGAAACTGACAGTCTTTATCTCTAAATTCTCTATCTCAGATATTGAATTTTATTCCCCGATAAATATAGTACATAATAAACAATGTCTGTGCGTGTGTGTAGATTTGATATACAGCTGCCTAACAGCATGTAGCCCTTTCCTACACCTGAATATCGATGGTTATTGCAACATGGTGTGCATATTACGAGGTGCTGGAGTCGTTGCGGGGATATATTAAATGATTAATTTTTCAAGCATTTTTGGACAGATTGTCGAGATCGTCTGTGGCGAAGACCACATTAGGCTATGGATCCAGCAGAATGAATTGCAGTCTGGTGTTCGTTCTGTAATGTTGTCGTGTGTCATGTTGGAGCCCGCAAGAAGCCTTTGTGAGGTGGAGTCTGTTTTGACAGGTGTGAATAACAGACACGGATCTCGTTGGGCGAATATTTGCATCTCTTTATGCTCACATTGTTTTCAGGGGTTAAATGCCATTTTTACATCAAGATAAAGCCACCTTTTACGACGCGCAGGTGACATGAACCTCGATCTAGGAATACTTGACTTGTGGTCGCTAAGGGTAACCGTGTGTGCGCAGTGGGGCAACGGATAGTGGCTCGAAAAGGGAAATCGGAGATCCGATTTCGAATCTCTTACATTCACTTACGTTCAAACACCCTTGGGGAAGTTATCTCTCCTCTAACAGCTTTAGGGTTTTAGTAGGTCAGACTGAAATATATAGCCTAAGTTGGCAACTAGTCTAAGAGAAGGAAAATTAAGCCTCGACTGGTTTTTTGCTCCGTCGGGTTAGCTTGTTCAAGACACACCTCTGATGCAACAGTTGCCTTATATGTGGTGCCTCCACGAGACTAATTGATTACGGGATTCTAAATCGTGTTCGTTAATGGTTTCCGTACTCAACAGAATTAAAACCCATTGAGTATATACGAGATACGTTGCAGACTTCACTAAATCTCCTGCAGGCAAATCTATAACTATATATATGTACCTGGACAGAAATCTCCTGCAGGCAAACTTATAACTTAGTTATGGACTACTTGGATAGATATAACAACTAAATATTTGGGTAGCTGTCTATATTTCTGAGATGAGGCA